CCCAAAATGCTTATTTCTTAGAATAAACTTTGTTTGTTTTCCTTCTGTAATGTGAGTACAAGTGTACTTTTACTTCATCTTCATCCTCTTAATGTAAATTGCCTTTTACTTAGCCTCCTGATAATCCCAGTGATGATGGATAAGCTCTTTATGATAACAGCTTTTTGTTGTATTGTCTTATTTGTAGAGAAGATTCATATGAGAATAGACATGTTTTTGCATTTCTATATTAATAAACTTTTAAAATTTGCAACTAGTTTTTTATTATTCAAATGTGGCATATATAGAATCATATGCTCTTTTTCTCTCAACATATGTATATAAGTATGTATGTAAATACATATAAATCTATATTTATTTTGGTCTGTTAGTCAATCAGGCTTTCTGTCTATGAATCAGCCAGCAAGATTTTATAAATGCCTACCCTATGCCAATTGTTGTGTTAAGCATAGGGGCTATGAAACAAAAAAGACACTCCTTCAGAGAATTTACATGCTATTAGGGGACAACATGCAGATCCAAGAGTATGAACAAAGCACATACAAGATAAATACAGAGTAATTGTATTTGGGGAAAGCACTAGCCAATGAGCAGAACAGCTAGGTGACATAGTGGATGGACAACACTGGACTGGAGGCAGGAAGATTCATCTTCCTGAGTTCAGATCTGGCCTGAGACTTATCTGTTGTGTGATTCTGGGCAAGCCACTTAACCTTAGCCTTATCTGTAAAACGAGCTGCAGAAGGAAATGACAAAACACTCCACTATCCTTGCTAAGAAAACCCCAAATTGGCGACGCAAAGAGTCAGACGAGACTGAAATGATTGAATAGTGAGTCAATGAAGTTATCAGGAAAAGTTTCATGTAGATGGCATTTGAGTAGAGCTTTAAATGAGACTAAGGATTCTCAGAGGCAGAAGTAAAGAGGTACATTTTCAGGTGTGACCAGAGAGATGGGAAATGGAGTGTTGTTTACAAGGAACAAAAAGGTCTTTTGACTGGACCAAAAAACGAGTGGAGAGTAATCGATGATAAAAATGGAAAGTTAGGTTGGGCTAACTTTAAACACCACACATAGGAATTTATATTTGGTTATTAAGAAAATAGGAAAACCATGGAGTTTATTGAGTAGAGGAGTGACATGTTCAATCCAATGTTTTAGAAAAATGACTCTGGTAGGGGGAAAGGTTGTTGAAGGGTGTGGCGAGTGAAGGATGAAATGACTGAAGAAACAAAAGTTGAGCTTCTGAGCACATGAATTTATTAAACAATGCATGGCAATTGCCCAATAAACCAGGAACATACTTCCTCAGCTTAGGCCTGGGCCCCAAATACAAGAGGAAACAGACTTTTATGCATTAAAAATAATTAATCAAATAAGACCAGTTAATTAAAAGGAAACAATACAACATCTAATTTTCAATTAGATGAAAGATTAGGAACTTTCCAAGTTAGAAGGGGGAGAGTGAATAGGTACAATTCCTTCAATTCAGAAAAAGAGATGTCCCATTCCCCAAGTGTCAGTAAACAATCAAAGGAACATGGAAACAATAACTGGCTGATCAGTATGAAGCCAACTTTCGGGTAAAAATTATGGGTTATTTGTGATGTACAATTGTGAGAAAATTCCTTGACTCAGTCTTTGGGACTGACTGGGTTTTTGGTCAACATAACCTAGGTCCTTAGGTTCTCTAAACAGCAGGTAAAGGAGGTCCAGTTTCCCAGACACACAGGGCTAGGTTCAAATAATACAATGAAGCTTTCTCACAATTCCCACAATTGAATATAATTTTCTCACAAGGTAGAAATTGGACTAGACCCATAATTGAGCTAGCTCCACATAAATGAATGAATGAATAAATAAATAAATGCATATGCTAGCTCCAGAATTGAGTCACAAGATGGAGTCGGTGTAGTTCATTCAGTTCCCACTACCACTTGCTGTTTTAATTCCTTCAATTCTCTCAAGAGTGAGACTTTAGAAGTTTTATCTACTATTTATTTGTCTTTCTGTTTATCTGTCAATCTATCTGTCTATCTTTCATTTGTGTCTCACCTAAATCTAAAAATAATTCATCACAGCATTTTTTTGTTCAAATATGTTTTGATTTCTTTACATTTCAATCCATCTACCTTTTCAGAAAATTGAAATATTTGGCACTGGTGAAAACCTTAAATTTATTCTGAGAGTTTATAGAATATGAGAAATAGTTTGGAATTCAGAGGTATGTATTTGTTGAATTCATGTAAATATAAATGTATTTTTCTGCATTTAACATATGAATTCAACTAGCAAATAAATGAGTGCCTGATAGATATAGGGCGCTATACTAGGCAGTGTGGGAGACTGAAAGAAATATAAAATTCATTTCCTACTTTTTTTATTGTTGTTGTTCAGTCGTTTCAGTCATGTCTAACTCTTTATGACCCCATTTTGGGTTTTCTTGGCAAAGATACTGGAGTGATTTGCCATTTCCTTCTCCAGGTTAATTTATCAGATGAAGAAACTGAGGCAAGAAAGATTAAGTGACTTGCTCAGAGTAACACAAGCTAGTAAATGTATAAGGTCAGATTTGAACTGAGGTTCTCCTGACTCCAGGCCAATCTTCTATTCACTGCATCGCCTAGCTGCCACTATCTCATTTACTTTCAAGGCTTCAGTTATGATATCTATGCAGAAGATTTTAGACTCTGTGTCTTTTCTTGATCTCTCTCCTGACCTCCAGACCTAGAAGATCTGCTGCTCTTAGGACATGTCTATTTGTGCAGTTTGTTGGTACTACACACTGAATGGGTCCAAAACCAAATTATCATGGTTGTCTTTCTTATGTCTATATCTATCAGTCTTATCTATATTAAATAATATCCTCCTCCAAACTTCACTGTTTCTGTCTGGCAAACTATCACTTACCTGGTCTCCTTGGGATTATCTTTAACTCTCTCCTCTTCTTCCTCTTTTGTATCTATTTACCAGTACTTTTCAGTACCATCAGTGCAGTGTCTTTCATACTCATCTTCTTCTGAAATCTCTACTGCTGTGAACCTAATATATATAAATAGCCTTCTCTTGGGCCTTTTCTTCATTTTATTCTGCCTCTACTGCAGTCTTCATTTTGTTACCAGACCAGTCTTTCATATCTATGTCATTCTGGGTAAAAATCTTCAAGAGTTCTCTATTTCACCACATAATGTTCAGATTCTTTTACCTAGACTTTAAGATCCTGCACATATGAAATTACCATGTCTTTATAATCTTAGCCCATAGTACCCCTTTGCAGTCTTTGCAATCTAAACTCCAGTCAAACTGGACTGCATTCTTTCCCATATCTCCTGCTTCCAGTGCCTTGCATTTTCTTGCCTTTGTTCCTTTGCTGACCCTGTTTCCCTTAAGTACCTCATCTTTGTTAATCCCTCTCTGAACCAACTGGTTGGAGCAGCAAGGTGGCACAGTGGATAGAGCACCAGCCCTGAATTCAGGAGAACCTGAGTTCAAATCCGGCCTCAGACACATAACACTTACTAGCTGTGTGACCCTGGGCAAGTCACTTAACCCATTGCCTAGCCAAAAACAAAACAAAACACAGCAACTGGTTGATGAAAACCTTTCCCCTCTGATTGATCTTATAAAGCTTGTTTTATAGCCATTTGTGTTTGCCTCATCCACTTTCATACAGGAAGCTGGAAGACAGCAGAACTGATACGTATTAAAAAAAAAATTTCCCGTTTAGCACACAGTAGGTGACTCATTTGTATTATAAATATGCTAAATATTAAATAAATAATATATTAGTACATGAGGTATACTACCAAAACATTATCTACTTAATGATAATATATTAGTATAACCAAATTATTGAAAAACTTTTCTAAGGCCTTGTCCATACTGTGCAATGTGTATATATGTACGTGTATATACATATATGTATATACAACTATGGGCAAATATACATGTATGTACATATATTTGTGTACATATATTTGTATAAACTTGAATGTGCAAAATATTCTGGTTGGAGGGAATCTATTTTTATGTCTTGTCAAATGTCTGGGGAGTAGTTGTCTACCTTGTTACAGATACGATTTTTAGGTTGTATTGCACTGCGTAGGAACCATTAAATGCATATGGAAAGGTCTTCCAACAGAATGGTAACAGAAGCACCTAAGGATTAGCTGCAGCCAGCTCAAATAGCTCTTGAGAGCTGATTGTTGAATTTTTAGTGTGAGTATTTAAATCCAGGAAATTGGCAAATAATACAGATCAGGGTTTTATTGATTTCTAGAATTAAGAAAGTGATAGTGAAAATGTTAATAATGCAAATTAAATTTAAAAATGCGTTATGTGTGGGGAGGGTTTTTTCCCTGAGAGTCATTTGTTAAATATTTATTAGTACATGATGAAAGCACTGGATAACTGTAAGGCAGCAGCTCAAACCATTGGATTTTATAGCTACAAAGCAGTCAGACTGGAGCAATGTGAAAACCTGAACATAATATAGTTCACGCTGCTGTAGGGGTACAGATTGATTTTTGCAAATGAACGATTTAGAAAATGATTTATAGGATAAGTTTAAAAATTACGTTTTTAGAGGTTTTGAAAACTTAATTTAAGGGTATATGTAACTTAGAAATGTACTAAAAATTGATTTCTTTCTCCAAGGCAAATCTATATTAGAGCATTGAATGACACAGATCAGTAGCAAATTGTTAACCTCAAATCTACCTCATTGAATTTGTATTCCCTGGTTGGATGAGTAATAAAGTGCTCAATAGAGAATCCAACTTAGTGATGACTTTGCAGTTATCCTTTTTTTCACTAGTTGTTGGGCTTAACAGCATTACTGGCTAGAGGAGAAAAGAGGAATTACTGGAAGCCACAATCAGTCAGTTCTTCTACATGTTCTAAGAAAAGTTAGAAGGACTTTAGCATTCACTTTGAAATAATGGAATCATTTATTTTCCTGAATGGTACAATATCCACCCTCCCTCTCTCTTTTTAATAGGGAAAAAAAATGTACTGTGACTGAGAAGGTACCAGGTATCTTTCTATGGAGGGATTTTTAAGGTTTCTTCTCAAAATGATAACAGAGTGGTAAGTGTTTATATGTTTCCACAATATTTATGAACAATAGACAGTATATCATAGCTTATTTTTGCATGTGTGCTTGTGGAGATATATATACGTGTGTGTGTGTGTGTACATACATACATACATACATACATACATATTTTCATGTATGTATATTAGAGCACTGAGTGACACATATCAGTAACACACATAGGCTGAGGCAAAAATACCTTTCAGTTAATAGTGTACAGCATAACCGTATCTTCAGTTCATGTTCTAGTGGTTTAAAGGCACATTTCATTTTATAGTGTATGCTTCAAATTAATTTTTATTCATACATTTCCAACTGTATTGTGACTTTCATCTCACCTTGCATATGCATGATATATGTATATGTGTTTATTTGTCTGTGTATTATATATACAGATTATAAACACATATGCACAAATACTCATGTAAATATATATATATGTATGTATGTGTGCATACATACATACATATATATATACATACACACACACACACACACACACACATATATATATATATATACACACACACTCATCAATCACTTAGGATCCAGAAGAGGCTTCTGCTTTTTCAAATGACATTGTTGCAAGTTTTTATTTTAGAAATGAGTGAGTCAGCTCTGTGACTCATAGGTCTGAGACAGGGCTTGCATATACTCTCAAAAATCAGTCTTCTGTGGGTTTACATGAGATAGGAGAAGCAGAGTCTCATCTCTGACAACCAAGATCTTGTTCTACTTCCTGGATGAGCATAGTGGGTTGGTTATCTATAAACCAGATTGTTTTCTTGGGGCCTCTAAAATCTTACTCCATCACTTAGATTCATGCCTCTGAACAGTATGGTGCAGTGTTTAAGATCTAGCAAGCTAGCACAGGCTCAGTGAGGACTTGTAGCAAGCAACCTAAAAGGAGAAGAAATGGACAGAATATTAGTATTCTGTAAAATTGAGAGAACTATGAATTAATCAAGCTGGGTTGTAAGTAAAAATCTTTACTCTTATGCAAAATTTTCAGACTCTATTTTTCCCTTTACCACTGGACAATCACAAAATAAGTAAGTAGGTCTCTGGAGGAAATAGCTCATCTTTTTTTCTTCCATTGTGAATGCAGGGGCTTCTTGGTTGTTGTACATGCTTAAGACATGACTGTTTGTCAGTTATCTACTAATGTAGCATCTGTAGATGTGGGCATATAGAAGAGATACCTGTGTTCAAAGCAGTAATTCTTTAGAACTCACGAGCTCTTATTGATGTTTACATTTTCCAGCCAGCAAAGAGCTCAAGAATTAAAAATAAAAGACATTCAATTAAGTCGTTCTGCAAAAAGAATGACAAGAATATATTTTCTCATTGTGTACGTTCTCCCATAAGTTAGCACAGCACCAGTGGGGAAAGGTATTTATATAGAGAACGCATATGCCCATGGAACACATAGAGCACATGTATCTGGAGACAACCATGGCTGGGACATGCAGTTCACACTTCTAGTTATGCATTTTCCAGTGCCCTCTCGGACTGTCATCATGAGATGTTCTACTGGCAGCTGTTCATCTTCTCTCAGTTGTGCATACCTACTTGTCTTGTGGCCACTAAGTTATTTCATTCCCATCTGCTGTCCTTCAGCTCTGGTTTCTTCTGAGTGGTTGCTGCTTTCTTGCATTATTTTCGGGGGTGCAGTGGCTTAAAAACCCTTCCTGACAAGAGTTATATTTCTTTTAATGACTAGCTAAAGGCTAGGATCTACTACATCCAGCTGGGTGAATAATTGAAGTTAGTAGCATGTCTCATGCTACGACTGTTTATATTTTCACCTTTCTGTCTACTGTTCATTCAAGGTCCATGGTTCTGGATTTAAGCTTAAAATTCCCTTTAAACTCTTGATCTGGAATCTTTTAATTCTCAACTCATTTGGGGGAATATGCCCCTAAAAAATTCTCACAGGAGCTATGTTGGTGACTGTGGATATGAAACCCATCTCTTTCACAGGATCACAGATTTAGAGCTGAATGGGACCTTAGAAGCCAAATAGCCTAGCTATCTCATTCTATGGATGAGGAAACTGAGGCCAGGAGAGGTTGTGGATTGCCCAAGGTTGTAAATGGCAGAGATAGGATTTGAACTTTGGTCCTCTGACTTTGATTTCACCTTGCTTTCCTTTGTACCTCTTTGATTGACATACTCATGAAGTTAGGAAAGAACAAAGGTCTAGGAGAAAGAGACAAAGTAATCATCCAGTAGCTTCGAGATTCCCATACCTGCCTTGGCCATGGGTACAACCTTCCAAAACATTCATTGACCAGAGCGCTCTGCCTTCCTTTATGAGATTTTTAAGGTGAGTCTTCTGTCAAAACTGGCTTCTACAATTCTTGCTTTTGAATAAACTTTGATAATTTCATCAAAACTTTGTTAAAACTTAAGACATTCCACTGAAGTAAAAGCATTTGGTCTGTTTGACAGATGCTCCTAATTTAGAGAATTACTGGTCATCCAGTGGCCAAATATAATACATACAGCATGTTTTACTTGCCCAAAGAAGATAATATAAACATGTCTCACACAAGGATTCACAGTGCTGAATAAATCAGTATTCAGAGTATTAAATATATCCAGTATGTCTTTATCTCACCAAAATAATTTGACAGTTCCTTTAGCATAGGAACATTAATAAATAACCATGTTATGATTCTTATGATCCACAAAGCCTCCTCCTGCCATGTGCCTTTTGAACTGTAAGCAGATGAGGCTTTGGCTATAATCGTTTTGATAGCAGCAGAGCAATGAGAGCTCAGTTTAATATAATCAGTCTGTCCTACTTCCAAAATAGAGACATAATAATGGGTCTGTCATTGCCCTTAGAACTGTAAATGGGCAGCAGTTCATAGTTATGCTGTGAAATCTAAGGGGACCATTGTATAGAGTACAAGAAAAACCAAGGAAGCAAATGAAAAGTTGTGAAACTAGAATGACTATTAAAAACAACAACAACAACAACAACAATATGTATTTCAGTTCATTTTAATCTAGAATTTTTTCTGAGGTGAAATGACATGATTATCGATCCTAACTTTTGTTCCCATTTCTAGTTGCTTCATGACTGGCTCTGTAGTTTTGTAACACCTGTTTAGTGAGATGCTTATGTAGTATTTTGGCATAATAGCTTTAACAGCTCCCATTTAAATATGGTATTGAGATTTTAGAAGGGTTTTACATATATTATCTCCTTTGATTCTCAGCAGCAATGCTCTGAGTAAGGAAATTGAGTTTCAGAAAGATTAAGTGACTTGCTTGGGGTCACTTAACTATCAAGTGTCTGAGGTGAGACTTGAACCTGGGACTCCTTAATTCCTACTCCAGAGCCTTGTAACGCCCTTCTAAGATCTTGAGGAAAACTTTCCTAGTGATAGTCCAGTGTGATCTCAAGTATGCTACCAAGGAAAACCCCTTTCATAGCATCCTGAAACTATATGTGGAACTTGAAAGCCACATATTCCTGTCCAGTTGGAATGTTTTTCTTCCTTTGCTTATTGATTTTTTCTGAACACTTGTCAAAAGCAAGGGAGAGTGGTAACTGTGAATCTCCTACAATTCATCAAAAGTTTCTAACAACTAAGAATTTCCACTTTAGCAAATTTAATTATTTTTCTAGATTGTTCTGCTTGTTTTGTACTGTAGTTAGAAAAACTATTGTAGTTAGAAAAATAAGGGAAAAATTAAGTATCTTGTTTAATAAATTTTTATCTAAATCTTGGATAAGTTACGTTTACATAGACTATTTTCAACTATGCTTTATAACATAAGCATCTGGAGAACAAGGAGTAAGTGCACTGTTTTATGCATATGTTGGTTACATAATACCTAGTAAAATCTTGTATACACAGCATGCAATTGGTAATGAACTAATAATGATAATAATAATTGCTAGCATTTCTATAGCACTTTAACATTTACAAAGCACTTGGCAAACATGTCATTTTAGCCTCACAACAGCTCTGGGAGGTAGGTGCTGTTATTTATCCCCTTTCTGTAGATGAAGAAACAGAAAATAAAAGAAGTTAAGTAATTTGCCCAGGGTTATTCATCTATTAAATATCTAAGGCCAGATTTGAACTTGGGTCTTCCCGACTACAGATCATGTACTTTATCCATTGTGCTACTTAGCTGTCTCAAATACAATACATGGTGATCTCATAAATGGTACTGTGTTCTTGAAGTGTTTCCTAATTTTCTATCTCCATAAATATTTCCCTATTCCCTCCAATTAGATGGGATTTCCCCCCTTGCTCTAGGTAGTCAAAGCACTTATTACTCAATTCCTCCAAAGATTTTTCATATGAATCCTCACCACCATGGGAACTCTTCTCTGGGTGCTCTCCAGTTTATCAATATCCTTCTTAAAATATGGCATTCAGAATGAAACACAACACTCTAAATATGGTCTAGATCAAGGAAGAGTACTATTGATTTTTGCTTTATACTGTATACTGTACCTCCCTTAATGTAGCCTCTGATCACATTAGCTTTTTTTGTTTCCATATACTGGGAAATCATAATAAGCTTTTGGGGCCTGAACTTCCTAGATCTTTTCAGATAAAGTATCATTTATCTCCACTTCCCTCATTTTGTACTTCTGAAGTTGATTCTTTTACCCAAGTATGAGACTTTACATTAAATTTTTTAAGTCATATCACAAAAGGCAACATTGAGTAATGGATTAAGAGCTAGCTTCAAAACCAGAAAGACCTGTGTCCAATACTTATATTCGACGTACACATAGCTGCATGACCCTCACTAAACCCCTGCCTCTCAGTGCCCTGGGCAAATCTTTAAATATCTTGTTGTCAGAGCTGCCAATTTTACATAAGAGAGAGGATTTTCTCACCAGGAATTCCCTATACCATTGAAATCACAGGCCTGAAAAAAAAATTAATAGTTTTCTTACATATTGTTCTCGCCTGTTGAATTATTTTCACATCTTGACTATTATCCAAAGAATTAG